CCCTCCCTGCAGGCTGCAAGTTGCTCCATGTGGGGATCCCATAGATCCTGACAGGAGAGGTGGGGCTGCCAGGAAGTGGTTCTTGTTTAAATATAAACCCATCAGATAAATATCAAACAGCCCACTTCTAAGATAAACAAATAGGAGATTTGGGCTCCGTTGGGCCCACCCTGGACTCTTCCCTTGCCATCCTGTGGAGTTAGATATGGGAGAGAAAAGAAAGCTTTCTAGAACTCTAAACTAGGAAAGGAAAGGTTACCAAAGAATGCTTACTTTTCACTAGGCATATACTGGCGAACCTGTGGCGAACTATGCTGGCAAACCTGTGGCATTCAGGCTGCAACAGGCTGTTATATGTTGCTGAAAGCTGTCCAAGGTTCGCTGTCAGTGCGCTACTCTATGCTATGCTACGCTACGCTACGCTACGCTACGCTACGCTACGCTACGCTACGCTGTGCTATGCTAGGGACCTTTATTTGCAGCTTTGTCACCTTTAAACCTCTCCACAAAAGCATCACAATCTCCATCACCCAGCAGTAGACGTGAGACCTACAACCTCATGTTTAGCTAAGCAAGCATCCTGATCTTAACAGAGCAGGAAGCTGAACTCAGACAGAGGCTGAACAGCACATCTGTAGTTATGTCGTTAGTAAGAAATGGAACTAGATCTAACTAACGAATGCAAAACCAATGGAACCAATGTTTCAGCCCTCTAGGCAGCCCCAGAAAAGAGGCCTCAAAAACATGACAGAATGTATCCTAAGTTAAATCAACATTGAACTACACAGTCCAAGCCTCTGTTTTGCTTTAAGGAGGAAAAAAATGTAATACCTGCTCCACAGAAATCTAAAGACCAATTCTGAGGACCTCTTCAATGTCAAAATCCAGAGGGGTACCAGCGCTCTTGCCAGGGGGCTTAGGAGAAGTACCTCCCCTGTGTTCCCCGAGTGCTCATGAAACTAAGACGTTGATTTCCAAAGGACACGGTAAAAATCTCACACACATTCCAACACACCCACCACAGAGTTATTATCCTCTTAGCTAAGGTTGAAAGGAAATGGGTGACTCAGGCAGGTTACACTGGCCTGCAGTGACTCACACCCACCCATCTAATCCAGGAGGCTGAAGGACAGCTCCTCACAAGGAACTGGAGCTGGGAGTCCAGCCCAACTTCCCCAGCTCCTCATTCAGGCCTCCTGGCACTGGGAGTCCTTGGACAAGCGTCCTGTTTCTAGGCACTGGGTGGCAGGAGTTGAATATCTATCCCACTTTGCTTCTGAGTTGGGGACTCATTTAGACTTTCCACCAGAGGCCAAGAAAGCTCCTCTCCCTTCGTCAGTGAGCTCTCTGGACAGGAAAGACCCTTCAAAGTCAAAAGGCTCAACCTCCTTATTTTAGAATTGGAAACACAAAGACCCAGACACAGGACATGTTTGTTCAAGGTCCTTTACCCATATAACAGAAGCTAAGGTATCTACCATCAGACCCAACAAATCTCATCTGGAATGTTCTCTGAGGACAATCAAATCAGATTATCTTGCACTATCATTCTGACCTGGTTCTGACCTTGGCAAGCCATTAGACAGTCCTCCAAGTGTCAGTTTCCTATAAAAAGGAAATAAATAAATACCCATCTCACAGTATTACTGGAAGACATTCATACGTAATAAATAACCTTGATGCATCTTTTACATGAGATTAGTTACACAAGCTCACAAATTTACTCATTCATACAAATATTTCCTGAGAACTATGGGACAGATATTTCACTAAAACAAACAAAGCAGAGTTCCTGCCCCCGGGGCAGGAGCGCTGGTGAAGCGGGGAGGTCTATTAATTCCCTCGAGGGAATGCCTTAGATGTCTATAGTTTCCACAGCTCCTTCTGAATAGTTAGCCCTTAATCATTAATCAAATATCAGCACTAGGAAAGGCTCTCCAAGCTGGTCAGCTCAAACCCTTCATTTTACAAATGACAGATGTCAACCCAGAGAGGCCAAGGGATATTTCTCAAGTCTCATGAACCCTTCAAACCATGGCTCAAATATTTTCCTGGGTCTTTGGTAACTCACTGGGCTCCCAAGAAGCCCCAAGAGTTTTCACTGACCACTTAAGGGTCCTAGAACTCCCTCTACTTCCGCCCCAACTTCTAGGTAATCAAGGAGAGAATTCTCAGGCAGACCAGAAATGTCTTTAAGATGAAGTACACCTGGTGGGTGGGGGACACTTCCCCAAAACTGCCTGGGCCTCCAGCCAACTCAGAGGCTGTGCCCCTGGGCAGCAACACTTTTTTGCCCACCCCCACTCCCAAAACAAGGGTGCCTTTAATTGGCCAGGAGGGAGTGGCAGGAAGGCAGATCAGGGGAATGCTCCCAGCTGGACAGGAAGAACTGGTTTAGGGTGGCAAGCCCCTGCCAAACAGAGGAGAGGACAGCTAGGTGCTCAGCCTAGGCCCCTTTCCCAAAACCTGAGGCACTAAGAAGAGGGGTGTGCCACCATAAGGAAGGGCAGGGCTTTGGATTACACCTAAAGCTTGGGGAGGGGCCCTGATAACATTGATAGAGAGGGCTGCTCCTCAGCTATTTGATGACCATTTTCAATGCGCTGCGCTAGCCCAAGGTGGTACCATGTTATCTCTCTCAGTTACCCCTCATCTGGAAAGTAAGCATAATATAATCTCCACATGTTAATTTTTTGTGAAGATAAAATGTATCAGATCTGGTTTACGGAAAGTATTTGAACCAGGAATGGTGGTAAGAGCCTGTAATCTGAACAGTTGGGATGCTGAGGCAGGAAGAGGAAGAAAAGTTCCAGGCCAACCTGGACTACACAGTGAAATTCTGTCAAAATGAAAAAAAAAGGGGGGGGGGAGACAGAGAGAGAGAAAGGAAGGAAGCAAAAAAGAAAATGTGCTCAATAAATTTTAACTGCTGTTAGCAAATTCCTTCTCTCTGGACCTCATTTTTGTCTACCTGAAAGAAGAAAAGAGCTAACTGGATCATCTCTCCAGTGTAAACTGAATGTGAATGGGTCTGACTTGAGACTTGGGGGAAATGAAAAATGGAAGCCCTGTGCCCCAACTAGCAGCAAGGGGCTGGTGACCCTAGCCAAGGAGGGAGAGCTAGGTCAGGTAAGAAGCTGACACCTCTCAGGAAGCAGCTGCTGGGGCTGACTTTTCCCCTAGCTGAAGGGTTGAAGGACTGACAAACCCTCCCTTCCAAGCCATATCCGTCTGACTTTCCCCTGGACACCGCTATCTATTCCTCCTCTCAGAGCATCTACACGTTCAGCAGCCCCTGAGCCCAGGTCAGCATGTAACTCTCCATGTGGTCATTTCTGTCACTTCTTGGGTACCTTCTTCTATTTCCCATAGCATCCAGCCCATGTTCCTTCAGCTGCCTCGCAACTCATTTAGAGCATCACACCAAGGAGAGACAGAAGGTGTGGGTTCTAATTTTGGCTCAGCCACTAACTTTACATAAAGACACCCTTGCTTTGAGGACATCGTCACCTCATGGTGGACTTTTGTTGCTCCCATTTTAGAAGTCCTTGAGGCTTTCCAGTCCCCCTGCTTCTAGTTAGTCTTCAGTTATGCAAGGATAGGACACTGGAGTAGCTTCTTGGGCCAGAAGTTAAGATAAAAGCAGCAATTGAAAGCCTAGCTGTCCAATTGGGATGTGACTCAGACCTTATTAGTCAGCTGTGTGACCTTCAGCAATTGACTAAACCTCTCTAGCCTCAGGACCAGTTTAAGAACAGTGAACAGGAGGGTTGTTGCTGTGGGTAGAGATGTTAGAAGAGAACTAGACACACCAAAAGCAGTACATATGTCTGCGGTCGTCACTGCAGGTCTAAAACTCCCAGGAGGCACTGCTCAGGGTCCACTCATTTCTCAACAAGAGGCTGTAGGCAGGATCAACTCCTAAACAAGTATGGAGGAAAAGGAGACCCAGGGCTTTCAAAGGAATTACTGTAACATTAATGATTAAATTCCAGAACTCACTCCTCTGAAAATCTAGGGCTGAAGAACACAAAGCCCAACCTCTTCAGGACAGAGCAGCTCTCCCAGCAGTCCCTATGCCCCCACTAAATGAGGCCCCCACCAAATGAGGACTCCCTTTTCCTGCTGCCTGGATGGCACTCCCTGTGGCCCAGGGCTGTGTAAACTATGCTGGGCATCCGCAGAAAGCTAAAAGGAAGTTTCTAGAGGCTCAGCAAGGCCTTCTCTCCCCCAGCTGCTTTATCTCCATGCAAGGTGGATGCCTTCATTTCCCCAAGATGTGGCTCCACAAAAAGTGGAGGCTCCACTCTGGGCCAAGTGCTAAGCCTAACCCATCCCTCCTGCAACCTATAAAGACAGGAGTCCCAAAGTTCTTGGGGCCCTGTAGAAGCAGCAGTTACCTCTTGTCCCACTCTCGCAAAGAATCTGCGCAGATGGGGAAAGTAAGGCTCAGAAGAGCCAGGGCTTGCACCACACACACGCACACACGCACACACGCACACACGCACACGCAAAGTCAAAGGCCGGGCCAGGGCCAGAGAACCGAGGTCGGGGCTCAGTTCTCTCGCGGGGCTCAGTTCTCTCCCGGGCGTGAGAAAGAGGGCCCCGCACATCCCTAACTCCTCCCCCTCCGCAGCGCGCGCGGTCCCCCTCATTCCCGGCCATCTCTGGAGCTGCCAACCCTGGACGCCTAAAGGGTGACGTGGGGGAGGACGAGACCTGACACCGGCTTAGTCACGTCGAAGCCGGCAGCTGGGAGCCGGCTGCCTGAAGCCGGCGGCGGGACTGAGGCCAGGGGAGGCGGGAAGAGCCACCACGGGCTGGGCGCTGGGCGCGCGCAGGAGCCACCCCGGGAACCTCCCCGCGACCCCGCGGCAAAGTTTCCGACGAAGTTTCTCCGGCTGGCCGTCCAGCGGCGCGCGGCGGCACAGCCCCATCCCAGCTCTCGGGAACAAAAGCGGACGGGCCCCCCGCACTTCCCCAGCCCTCCGAACACCCACCGACTCGGCGGTCGTGGCCCGGCTGCAGACGACGAGCAGCAACAGGAGCGCGAGCGGGCGGGCGGGCGCCATGGCGCGGGGGAGCAGGACGCGCGGGCTGCGAGCGCCCCGACCCAGCACGCCCTTCTTATAGGCGGCGGCCCCGCCCCGCCCCGCCCCGCCGAGCCGCGGCCACCCGCACCCCGCCCGGAATTTCCCCGGAAAGCTGGACTTGCAGGGCACTGCGCCCGCCTGCAGAGCTGGAAACCCCAGGGCACTGGCCCCGCACGCCGCAGCCGACTCCAGGCCGACCCGAATCGTATCCTCAGGGACCTCCAACCTGCTGGATTTATTTGACCCACTCCTAGGCAGGCCGTGGGTGATCACTGTGCCTAACCTCATTTTATAGTTGGAAAGAGTGACACCCAGGAACAAAAAAGACTTGCCCAATCTTTACGATCAACCTTCAGGGCCCCTGCCTGGCAAGGGAGAGATCCTGAGTTCGATTCTAGGTACCAAAAAATAAAATAAATAAATAAATAAATAAAATCAACCTTCAAACCAGGTAGGATCCTTCCTGAGGAGAGTTTGGAAGACTTTCCAAATGGAACGTGAAGATGGGTAGATTTAAGACCTGAATCACAGGGCTGGTGAGATGGCTCAGTGGTCTAAAGCACCTACTTCCAAACAAGCTTAGCAAAGCAAAGGGACTTCAGTTCAATCCCCCAGCACCACATGCCAGCCAGCCCCGCCCCCTGGTGGGCTGAGCTGGCCACACACACAACACACACACACACACACAAATAAAAAAAAAATTAAAAAAAAAAAAGACCTGAATCACTCTGGTGTTCAACAGCTAAAAAGCCCCCACAGGAAGACTTAAATGAATGAATGTGTCTCTGTCCAAATAATGAATTTCATGTCATTTTCACATGTCACAACATTTTTTGAGAGATGCTTTCACTGTGTAGTAAAGGCTGGTCTTGAACCCACTATGTAGCCCAGGATGGTTTTGAATTTGAGGCAGTCCTTTTGCCTCCACCTCCAGAGTGTTGGGACTACAGGAGAGTGCCACCACACCCAGTTTATAAAATAATATTCTTTTAACTCCCCTGCCGCCCTATCCACTTAAAAATATTTTTAAAAAAAAATTCTTGGGGCCGGGGAGATGGCTCAGTGGAATAAGCGCTTCCCTGGCAAGCGCAAGGGCCTGAGTTCAATCCCTGGTTGGGGGGGGGGGACGGACACCATTCTTAACAGTGGGCCAGGGTCAGGTGGTGGTGCACACGTGTAATCCCAACACTGGGGAGACTGAGGCAGGAGGATCACTTCCAGTTCCAGGCCGGCTTGGGCTACATAGTGAGTACACAAAAACAAACAAATAAACAAACACCAGTTGGCCAAACAATAACAGACAGTTGGCAGCACACTTTGGTCTCAAGGTGCCTGCTGTATAAAGGAATTTATTACTCAGATTAAGAACTTCCTGAAAAACATACATCTCTTTGAAAACTGGTCTGCAAGTTTATCTTCATCATCAAGCCAGCTTCCACCAGAAAGTTATTTCAAGTGGGTTTGGTGGCCCATCTCTGCATTTCCAGCACTCTAGGTGGCTGAGGCTGGAGGGTCACAAGTTAGAGCTCAGCCTGGTCAATTTAGCAATTTAGAGAGACTGTAAAAACAAGAAAGGGCTGAGGATGTAGCTCAGTGTGAAGGCTCTGGATTCAATCCTCAATTCCACAAAGAGAAAGGGAAGGAGGGAAGCAGGGAGAAGGAGAAGAAATTGTCTCCCTTAACCCTCAGCTTCCTGACAGTGCACTGGGGAGGGGTAGTAAAATCTCTGAATCCCAAGTACAGTTACTGTTGGAAATATTAGAGGATTAGATGGGAGCACTCTCATGATAAAAGTACTGATCTTTCCTAACCCTGCCTCACCCCAACACATGTATGTTCTAACAGTATAATGTGGCTTTAGAACTAAGGGGTTTTTTGTTGTTGCTGTTGTTGTTGTTTTGGTTTTCTTTTGCGGAACCAGGGATTGAACTCAAGCCCTTGCCCTTGCTAGGCAAGGGCTTATTCTACTGAGCCATCTCCCCGGCCCCAGAAATAAGGTATTTTAACAAAGTACAGCGGCATGATTCTGCAGTCTCCAACTACTCACAGGCTAAAGCAGGAGGATTGCCATTTCAAGGCTGGAGTGGGCAATTTAGGGAGATGTGTCTCCAAGTGCAACAAAAGGGGCTGTGAATGACACCCTCAGGGATAGTGTTGACATGGGTTCAACGTGTGCTACTACAAAATAATAAAAATAATAACAATGACATTCCAGATCTAGGGTATTTGGGCTTCCACTGGAGTGAGTTCCTACACTACTTTGCTTCCTAGATGATTAAAAATTATTTTCCTTCTAGCCCCACAACCCCTACCCCAGTCCTGGGGATTGAACTCAGGATTTTGCACTGCTCTTCCATCCTTTTCTTTTCTTTTCTTTTCTTTTTTTTTTTTTTTTTTTTAATTTTGAGACAAGGTCCCGAACTGAGCTCAAACTTTTGATCCTCCTGCCTC